CAGACAAACAAACAAACAAACAATTGTCTTCATATGATGATATATGATTTGAAATCATCATCATTTAATCAAATCTTCACCTAGTTTTATCCATTAATTTTAATTTTGTTCTTTTTTTGTTTTTTGAATTTTTTTTTATTTTTAAATTCACCTGTTGTTCGAATGGAAACTTGCATGGTGTAAATTGAATTTTGTTTGTTCCGGTTTTTTGCTGGCCAGACTTGAGGAAAATACGATTATTCTAGGTTCCGGTTGTTTTTTCACCGTATCATCATCATCATCATCATCAAAAAACAACAACAGCAGATTTCATTTTTTCTTTCCATTAAACTTATTTCGTGATGATGATGCGGTTTTTTATTTTCATCATCATATCAATCAATCAGTTTTGTATTTGTTTACGGTTTGTGTGTGACGAATGGAATCGTAAAAAAATCGTTGATTGTTGTTGTTGTTATGGATTTTGGGCACTTCCCGAAACTTTATCAACAACAGAGAAAAAACAAAAAAAAAGTTTTTAATGAAAAAGAAAAACCCGAAAAAAGACATTACAATAATGTGAATGAATGAATGAATGAAAATTCGTGTGAAATGAACCTGACTACCTGATTAATTAATTTTCATTAAAAAATAGTGATTTTTTAAGGTAAATTTCTAATAAAAGAATCTAGATTTCAAAGTCATGATGATGATTGTTTGCTTGAATCACGGAAGTATATCTTGATGATATCGTTGTCAGCCAATTGTTGTTGTTGTTGTTGTTGTGAATAGCATGCAACAACAACAACCCGAAAGAAAAAAAAAATTCAAAATCTTGATATGTAAGATATTGTTGTTGTTGTTGTTCTCTCTGTATGTGATGTATAGGGAAATTCTTAACTTTTTCTGTTGAATGGCTGACTGATTTGATTTGAATGAATGAATTTTTTTCTATTGAAAATGATAACGGTAAATATGTTTCAATGATGTATTAATGTCGGTTTGTCAGTGGTTCAGTGTTCAGTGCTGTACATAGCCAAAGTCATCGACATCGATTCTCATTTTTTTTAATATAATAAAGGTGGTTAGGAAAAAAAAGGATCATTGTATTCTGGATTGAGTTTTTTTTCTGTGTTCAACAACAAGTGTTTGTTTGTTTGTTTGTATGGGGCAACTGGCAATACAGCTTTTTT